TATGGAAGGTGTACCTGATAAAATGGCAACTCCTGAACGACACTACATCGTGGCTGTGAGGCTCCTGAGACAGCTGCTTAAACAACAGTACTTTGTGGCTTTGAGGCTTCTGGGACGGGTGCCTGAGTATGTCTGCATAACAACTGCGAGGCTCCTAGGCCTGAGCGATTCTGCATTGCAGCTGTGAGGTCCCAGGGCTGACCATCTGAGCGACACTACATTGTGGCTGTGAGGCTCCTGGATCAACCATCTGAGCGACACTACATTTTGGCTGTGAGGCTCCTGGATCAACCATCTGAGCAGCACTACATTGTGGCTGTGAGGCTCCTGTATAGACCATCTGAGCGACACTACATCATGGCTGCGAGGCTCCTGGATCAACCATCTGAGCAACACTACATTGTGGTTGTGAGGCTCCTGGATCAACCATCTGAGCGGCACTACATTGTGGCTGTGAGGCTCCTGTATGGACCATCTGAGCGACACTACATCATGGCTGCGAGGCTCCTGGATCAACCATCTGAGCGACACTACATTGTGGCTGTAAGGCTCCTGGATCAACCATCTGAGCAACACTACATTGCGGTTGTGAGGCTCCTGAATCAACCATCTGAGCGACACTACATTGTGGCTGTGAGGGTCCTGGATCAACCTTCTGAGTGACCCCTACATTATGGCTGTGAGGCTCCTGGATCCATGATCTGAACGACACTACATCGTGGCTGTGAGGCTCCTGAGCCAGCTGCTTAAGCAACAGTACTTTGTGGCTTTGAGGCTTCTGGGACGGGTGCCTGAGTATGTCTGCATAACAACTGCGAGGCTCCTAGGCCTGAGCGATTCTGCATTGCAGCTGTGAGGTCCCAGGGCTGACCATCTGAGCGACACTACATTGTGGCTGTGAGGCTCCTGTATGGACCATCTGAGCGACACTACATCATGGCTGTGAGGCTCCTGGATCAACCATCTGAGCAGCACTACATTGTGGCTGTGAGGCTCCTGTATGGACCATCTGAGCGACACTACATCATGGCTGCGAGGCTCCTGGATCAACCATCTGAGCAACACTACATTGTGGTTGTGAGGCTCCTGGATCAACCATCTGAGCGGCACTACATTGTGGCTGTGAGGCTCCTGTATGGACCATCTGAGCGACACTACATCATGGCTGCGAGGCTCCTGGATCAACCATCTGAGCGACACTACATTGTGGTTGTGAGGCTCCTGGATCAACCATCTGAGCAGCACTACATTGTGGCTGTAAGGCTCCTGGATCAACCATCTGAGCAACACTACATTGCGGTTGTGAGGCTCCTGAATCAACCATCTGAGCGACACTACATTGTGGCTGTGAGGGTCCTGGATCAACCTTCTGAGCGACCCCTACATTATGGCTGTGAGGCTCCTGGATCCATGATCTGAGCGACACTACATTGTGGCTGTGAGGCTCCTGGATCAACCACCTAAGTGACACTACATTGTGGCCCTGAGTTCGTCTGATCATCACTACATTGTGGCTGCAAGGCTCCCAGGCCAGGCACCTGAGTGGCTCTGTATCGCGACTGTGAAGTTTCCTCGGTTGGCCACTTGAGCAATTGTAGAATGTGGCTGTGAGGCTCCCGGGCTGGCTGCCTGGGTGACTGTACATTTCGGATGGGAGGCTCCCAAGCTGGCCACCTGTGTGACTCTACATCATGGCTGTGAGGCTCGGGTGGGCTGCCTGAGCGACTCTACACCACGACTGTGAGGATCCTGTGCCAGGTGCCTGAGCGTCTTTACATTGCAAACTCTATGGGCGGTCTGGTTTTACCAAACGTTAAGCTGTATTTGATGTCTTCACACTCAAATTACTAATTTGAATGGGTAAAGAGTGAAAAAACTATAAGGTTGGACCTTGAACAGTCCCTATCAAAGTATTCCATTCCTGACTTTTTATGTTTTAGGCAGGAAAAGCTGTTAACTTAAAGGTAATACACTTAAGACAAACACTTAAGATATGGGGGCTGTTTGTCGCTTTATGGGAAGGTCTAAGCTGACCTCTGTTCTAACACCAATTATTAATAATCCTGGTTTTGTACCAGGTAGTGGTATGCAAGCTTTCAAATTTGGGCCGCCAAAGGCATCAAAAGGTCAGCTGTTCTTTTTAAAGATGGAGATTTCATATATTTTGAACAGCTTGCTCAGCAATGCCATTTATGGAGACAAGACTTTTTTAGATGTTTACAAATTTGCAACTTTGATAAATGCCCTTTAGAAATACTTTTATTTTGCCCCTTTGGAAAAATGTCTGAGTCTATTCAACAATATCTTCAAAGTCAAGCCAGCTATTAATACATATGAGCTTAAGAATGCATGGGAGAGAACGATGTACAGCTATTAGTGATGATGACTGGGAGATTATCTGGAAATACGCCAAGATCATATCTATATGTAACCATACAAAAGTGATTCAGTTTCCCATCTGGATTTCACCCTGTCGAAAACCCGTTTTGAACAGTTTAGCCTCACCACTTTGTCTTAGGTGTAAAACTCAGACAGGCTCTCTTCCCCATTGATTTCAGTAAAATCCAGTAACAAAAAACAAAATGTAATTTTGCTGGGGGTGTTCAAACTTTTGCATATGACTGTATAATATTTGCATTTAAAGTGCATATTCAAAGCACAACCCGAAGAGACAGGTGGAACAGTCATAATTAACAGAGACATCGCCGTTGAGCATCACTGAGAATAACGTTTATGTTTTGTCTGCTAAGCTTACAGGACAGAACCAATGCAGTGAAAGCAGGTCATTCCCAGCACTGACAAGGCTTATATTTGACATAGGCAACTGTGCATGAAGACCTCAAGAACCTGGTGACATCACTGACGGGAAAGGTTGGAAAACATGCAGACGTGCGCGTCTGAACGTCTACTGTAACGTTAATAAGAACTTTAGCTGGTGAATACGCTCAGTATGACTCTCACTTTGCTCAGAGTGATGGGGCGCCGGGGTTGGAGCATAGCCAATCAGAGTGGCCTTTGCTTTTGATCTTTTGCTACTATCGCCATGGCTACAGCTGATGACATGCAGGCTGCTGAAGACCAGTGTTTCTGGGAAGACGACGCTGATGGTTACGGGAAGTGGCGGAATAAAACGGTCATTGTGAAAGTGTCAGAATCAAATGGTCATTTTAAAACTGTCACCGAATCTGACTAGAATAGTTAAAAAGACTAAACGTGGTCCAGAAGGAATCAGATGACTTATATATTTGTGTGAAAAATTACTGTGTGGAGACAGAAAGAAAGAAAGAAAGAAAGAAACAAAGAAAGATGAAAAAAATTGTCCCATTATGTCACATTATGTCATACCTTTGAATGTATTTATTTAGTTCCACATATGAATGTATATATATATATATATATATATATATATATATATATATATATATATATACATTCATATGTGGAACTAAATAAATACATTCAAAGGTATGACATAATGTGACATAATCACAAGACAGACTGTGGAGAAGAGACTTCTGGAACGCTTCTTCAGAAGATTCTGGAACCAGGAACTCCAGCAGCAGGTCGAAGATGCAGTATACAAGGTGTCTGCAGTAGGCGAGGGTGAGTGACATTTTCATTATCACAATAAGTTACACCATTATACACTTTTTTGAGCACATCACAGTACTTCCAAAACTGTAGCCGACTTCATACTTCGTAAAAAAAAAAAATATATATATATATATATATATATATATATATATATATATATATTTATATATATATATATATGTATATATCCATTTTTGTCGATTTTTATTTTTCTACATCATTTCAACACCTCAGCTGCCCTTTATGTTGTGTGAATTTCTTAATGAATGGACCAATACAAACGCTCTAAAATCACTAAAACCTAAAACCTAAAACATTTCACATTTACTTACATTGAAAGGTAAGAGTGTTTTTGCCTTCTCCTGTAAAGTTACTATTTTGGAGATATTTGTTTTTCTTTGCACATCGACGATATCATAATTTATTGGGTATTTTCTTTTGGGAGCTGACTTGAAGGCCTACAGTGATGTTTTTCTCAAATAATTGGTCAAAACGTGATTTGTTGACACCTCTGTCACTTCATAATTATGCAGAGTTACCCTAACACTTCAGTTAACCTAGCCTTCTCTTCAGCTCTTAAAGTCCTAAGCAATAGGACAGTTCACTTAGCTGTATCTACCCAGATACCACAGAGAAAAAAACTGTTTCTGATTGGCTAGAATTATTGATTGGCCACTGGACATTTGAAGAATTCAACCCTTTTTCATCCAAAACTTAACAATAAAACAAGAGTAGTACAGTAATACTCGCATAATTTAAATATAAGCAAATTTCAAATAACAAATAACAAATCAGAATTTCTCAGCACAACAACACAGCTGTTACGTTCATGATATCAGTGAGCGCAAACTGCTTTACTCAGCCAATAAGATGATCAACTCACCAACCAGTCACCTTTCAGTAGCAGTAATGCTCGCATGCTACAGCTTAAAACTTGTTTGCTGTAAAAATAGAAATATACTGGTAAATTTTCTTCAGTATTTATTGAGACATTGTTCTGTTTTCTAAGATTAAAGGAAGCTCCTGCATAAATAGCTACAAATTTGTTAAATTTTTTGTTTTTAGCCATTTAAAACATTCATTTGACACTCACTCGTCCTCCAGTGTTTTGCATTTTCATACATAGTTGTGATTACATCATTTCAGCACACAACAAAGTTACTGCAACCCAGTGAGCATGGAGGACGTTGATGTTTTATTTTGATTAGTTGCCCAAATATGATGTTAACATCAGCACTATTTTAAAGTGAACAGAAGATTCCCAAATGTTTCTTAAAGTCTTCCTAAGCATGTACTTATATGTCTCTGTGTATCTGCAATAGCTTATTTGTGCTGGGTTTTCAAAAACAATGATGAGAGCAAAGCTAAGAGACAATTTTAATGACATGGTTCACCCCAATAATCCCTGTTCTGCAGAAACGTACCAGCTCTGGATTAGGAAATAATAAGTTTCCTAACACACCATGGTCCAGGAACTAAAACCAGCCTGGATGCTCTGGTAAAAAGTTCACGAAAAAAGTCTCTGGTTCCTGAAAAGGTTCCTCAATGGAATCACACTTCATGTGTACTGGAGAAAGGAGTGTTCAAAGAAAGAGAGAGAGAACTAGACAGAGATGTGCTCTCAGGCAGACACAGATGTTTCTACATCACAAGACAGACTGTGGAGAAGAGACTTCTGGAACGCTTCTTCAGAAGATTCTGGAACCAGGAACTCCAGCAGCAGGTCGAAGATGCAGTATACAAGGTGTCTGCAGTAGACAAGGGTGAGTGACATTTTCATTATCACAATAAGTTACACCATTATACACTTTTTTGAGCACATCACAGTACTTCTAAAACTGTAGCCGACTGCATACTTTGTAAAAAAATATATATATATACATATATATGTGTGTGTGTGTGTGTGTGTGTATATATATATATATTTTCTTGATTTTTTCTCCAGTTCCACAAGAGACCAGAACACTTCATCACGTTAGGAATAGTGATGTTGACAATATGCACAGTAATAACAGAGTCTAATTTTGTATGACATGCTAACAACATGCTAAGATGCTAAATTTTAGGTAAGGACCTGCAGTGAGACACTGAGGTTTGAAGATGATACCTGTTGATATGGGGGTCCTGCAGAGACTCCAGCACATGCTCCCAACTCAGCTTATACTTCTCACACCCTAATATATCAGGAATAAGCTCTGGAAAACAATACAATGGAATACGTACACATGCACACATAAAGGGGTACGATAGAAAATGCAATATGATAAATGCACTGATGTTCAGTAAGTAGTAATATGTAATACAGTTTTGTTGAATAAAATGTAGCCATGGTCACAATCAACAGTTCTGCTGCCAACAGAAGACTATGGTTGCCAAGCAACAGCAGTTCAAAGATTCAGAATTCAACTGATGTGCGCAGTCATGTGTATTTTGTACAAAGGATTCAAATGTGTCCCAGCCAATCAGACATCAGAACCAAAAACCAGAAAACTGGCAATCCGTTTTAAAAGGCCAGTTTCCTTTCTTTCAATGATGTTCACAAAAGCAGCTCAAGTGCTAAGAGCTCCCCCTTGTGGAGAATCTGAAACCTGACAAACATGAGTGTGTCCATAAGGTCATTAACAACATCAGTAATTGACAAGACTGTTCAGATGCTGTAAGAACTGACCTGGAAACAGTTTCATGAGGCAGTCGAGGCACTGCAGGCGTGTTTCCTCCCTTTGTTCTGGGCTCCTCTCAGGCTGTGGGCCCACAGGTAAATCCCCACCAGGCCACACGGCCTCCTGCAGGACCCGCAGGTAGATCACCCAGCATGGAGCACTGGTCAGGTGGGCTATTCCAACCTCCAGCCACCTTGAGAGCAGTCAAAGAGAAAGAAACTGCTAGAAGATTCTGTCTCCAACTCATAACTTACACAACTGATTCCCATTAGGTTCCAGACACCAAGACAAGGCAACGATTCGAAAATCCTAATGAGAACCAGAGGAACATGAGTCTCCCTGGAGTCTTGTCACGTGAAACATCACTCACTTCACAAGGGATGTTGACATATTTCCTGTTCACTAATGCTTCTGCAGACATCAGAACAAAGTTCATGCCTTGCATGCATCTACAGTGTCGTGTTAACCATTAGAAGTTACAGTTATCGCCAGGGATAACAAAAGAAAGGTGTCATTTTATGTTGATTATTTCTCACTTCTAACTCATTGAAACAAGTGCAGAAATTGTGTTGAAAGGGCAGATACCACATTCTTTACCACATTTTACATTTGTAACTAGAAGAGATTCTATTAAGATTTGAATTTGATGAAAAGTTATTGTTGAGAGTTCAATCTTCTTTTGCAGAAAGAAAAAAAAATTTTGTCATTTTTGATATCAAAATGAACAGATAAAAATCAGACATGCAGGCGCGAACCTGTCAACGCAGAATGTAAATGGACTTGATTACATAAGTTCAGGCTTTTGATTATTATTAATACGTCATATATATATATATATTTCTCTTTTTATCAGCTCCACTTGATATATAGTGCACTTTCTAGTTCTACAATTACAGACTATAGTCCATCTGCTTCTTTGTTATCCTTTACCCTTTTATTAATCAGGGCCCCCACAGGACCACCACAGAGCACGTATTATTTGGGTGGTGGATCATTCTCAGCACTGCAGTGACACCAACGTGGTGGTGGCATGTTAGTGTCCTGTGACCACCGATGAAGGGCTAGAGGATGACCAACACAAACTGCGCAGCAATAAATGAGCTGCTGTCTCAGTGAGTGGACACAGTGTTTAAAAACTCTGTGTGTCTGATCCACTAATACCAGCACAACACCCACTAACGCACCGCCACCACTTCGGGGTCACTGCAGTGCTGAGAATGATCCACCACCCAAATAATACCTGCTCTGTGGTTGATTAGTTGATTGACATCGATCGAAAATGTTCCACTCGTCAAACAGTCTTATATGCACATTTACATACTGCAGCCTTCTGAAATATCAGTACTGCTAAGGTCAAAATCTTTAGAATGATTAGCAAACAATATGTTGTGCAGCCCTGTGGGAGAGTGTTGTTTTCATCTCAGTGTTGTTGACTTCATCTCAGTTGTCTTGTCTTCCAGTGCCAGTGATGCTTACTGACTAATCCCGCTCGTCTTTCAGCACGCTGGGTTTGTTTTGGTAACAGGCGGCACCATGTCTCGTCCTAGGCACTGTTATGCCGAGCGATGAATATTTAATCTCACACCCACACTTTCCTCACAAGCCATAGAATACGGGTACAAGAGTGGCCATAGCACGCATGCCTCAGGGTAAGCGCATGCAGACGAATACGAAATTGATATGAATAGTCACGCTAAAAGGCACACAGCAATGTCTCTCAGACACTTCTCTCCATCCATGTTGGGTGATTTCGGTCTTTCTACAGACTTGTCAACTGCCAAAAGTCCAGGAACGGCACTAAAGAACAAGGATGGGCGTTTTAATAGACAGAATGCACGGACCAAAGTGACCCTTAAAGACCTATAAATCTAATTTAAGGGTACAACATGCACTTAAGCATATAACTAGTCCACATTTCAACATTCACTGTCCACTTTTTACAATAGGCTTATGCAACGTGTTTTAACATTACCAATCCATCAGACCTGATAGGAGTAAGACAAGACCAATGAACATTACAATAACGTCTCGCAGATGCTCTTACGCAACATGGAGAATTCCACAGAACATTTGAAATGACAGTACTCCCCATCGTCTCATTTCTAGTCGATCAGTGAGTTCTCCATGTATTCCACTGCATCTAATTGAATTAGTTTGCTTAAGTATTTTGACTTGGCGGTTTCCAAATAAAAGAGGTTGCAAAAATGCAGCTGGGGCTTCAAATGAAGGGAGAAGGAGCGAGGAATGGATTTCATCCTGATTTTGTTTCCATTCAGCTTTTTTCCTTTTATTTTTCACAAGCCAAGCACTAACAGTCGGGACACTGTGTCCAGACGTCTGAGAATGGGCCGTAACGTCTCATCTGACCACGAGGCCGGTGTTTAGGCTGAGGGGCTCAGGCTGACCGCCTCTCTCAAAAGTTCATAAAAAGGTACAAACAATGGAGGCTGATAACAGGGATGAGAAAGATGTTGCAGTAAAGACATAAAAGTTTGATTGAATTTGAATTTGATTAAATTTTGACAAGCAAATTAGCTTCTCTCTAATGCTATACGTTCTCATGTTTATCTTCAGATAAGCAGTACTTGAAGCTTTCATCTTTATTAGAGAGAAGAATATTAAGCTCCACTCTTGCTTCAGATCTGAATAAATCCACAGGTGTTTCTGTCCATCCTTCCACTGTGAGAAGACAACTCAGTGCTATGAGTCTGAAAGGAAGTTTAGCTGTCAAGAAGCTGTTACTGAGAAAAAGAAAAAGACAACAAAGTAGAACATTCGCAAAATTAAACAAAGAAGCTGCTGGTGTTCTCCGAACAATGAACTGACCACTCCAGAGTCCAGACCTCAACATCACTGAATGTGTTTGGGATTACTTGGTTTGCTTCTAAGATTAAACTTTGGAGGTGTGGAAATAAAAAAAAAACCTATAGACTAGAAAAGCTGAAAACAAGTCTCCCAAAAGAATGGAAGCTCTGGGGGCTCCAAAGTGGCCAAACCATCTTAGCCAGGGGTGTCCAATCTTATCCACAGAGGGCCGGACACCACTGATCTAAGTGATCATCAGGCAATCCCAGCGATGCTACAGCCTTCTTTTGTTTGCCTTCTGTTGGTATTGTGTGATTGGGAGAGTCCTAACTAGTAGGTGGAAGTAGATATGACTACATTGGGGGGAAAATTGGACATAATTCCAGAAAAAAGAATGGAAGCTGTAATAAACACAAAGGGTAGACACACTAAATACTGGAAAACATGAAATGCTTAGTTGTTGAGGTGTAATTTCCCATTAAATATGTTTTTGGGGTTTTCCTGATGCTGAAAAGTCAATAACTTTAAGGATTTTTTTAAGGATTTTTGACAAGCAAATTAGCTGTGCTCTAATGCTATACATTCTCATATTTAAGAGCCATGAGATTTGAAGATGGTGATGAAAGACTGCTGCAGCCGGCTAAAAGAAGTGTTGATAAACATCAAACATCAAGCTTGAGTTGATTTAACATTCTAGTCGTATTTCATACGAAAAAACTTCCAACATAATTTACTGAATTGATCATGTTTAGTATCAGCTTCATAAACTTGTTGTTTTGAAGCCCAAAGGTACAAGGAGAAATCAGTTAGCGAGTCTAGTAACATCAATTGAGGTTAGCCTTTGCCTAACTTTAGATTGGCTGCTTTTCATACTGTAAATTTCAAGCTGTCTTAATGTGGTACAGTATCGTAAGATGCTGAGTGTATTTATTTGCATCCAACATGTAGTAGCTTGTAGCCTATATTTCTAACAGTATTTCAAATTTAAATATGACATTTGGCTGAAATGCAAATCCCTAGCTGCTACCATGGATGCTTCAGTCATGTTTTAAATGAAAATGATAACACAGCAGTCCCTCGATCACCTCATGCGGTCTAGTCTGTTATCTGAAGTAGTCCACTTTGTTTTCAAGGCAGCAAACATAAAGGAATGGCCACTCTTTTGAGGTTAGCTTTAATCTAACATGGCTAACCAGAGCTCTTCTGTTTCCAGAGTCTGATGGACGGAGGCATGAGTATTTGGGAAGCACATATGAGATGAATGACTAGAGCAGGGATGTGGAACTGAGGGCAGGAGTCCAGCACAGTTTAGTGATTTCCCTGCTCTAGCACACCAACCAAACCTGGCAATTAACTGAGTTAAATTAGGTATGCTTGAGCAGGAAAATCACCAAACCGTGCAGGAATCTGGCCGTCCAGCACTGGAGTTCCTCACCCTTGGACTAGAGAAATTCAACAAAGCTGAAGTTGGCTTCTTATTTGAAATTCTAATTCCACTTTAAACAGTGCAGCAGTTCAATTCAGGCACCTGTACAGAGTGTTACTGCCGCTCCATTTAAGGTGGAACCAGAAATTAAAACACAAACCTGAAGAATAAGTAGCCAACTTCAGCACTGTTTTTGGCAGGTCCACAGAACTACTGTTAGAAATCATTATTAACATTGGTTTATATATGTACATTGTTCAAGTTTTGCTTATTTTTTTTAATTTTAGGAAATTATTTCAGATATTAAAAATGTTTCTCATTAAAAAGTGAAGGGATATCACAGAATAAAAAAAACTATCAATTTAAAAAAAAAAAGGTTTTCTTAAGCATCTAAAACACTATTCTGTGAATCACTATATACTGTGGTTACCACAGAAAGTTTAGGAAGTTTAATACACTGTGTTATACATTTTTGGCCATACTGTTCACTACTACTATATTAGCCTCATAGCTAAGGTTGCCAGGTGTCCGGTTTTGGCCCAGGAATTCTGGTTTGGAGCTTTGTTGTCCGGTGTCTGGTTGGTACTGGTAGTCAGATGTTAAAAATGTCCAGTCAGTTCACACTCTAACTGCATTCCATTTGTTGAGGCATATAAAATGTCATCCAAGCTCTCCGCCCCCTACATAAAATAGAAAGAATGGACGCTTGATGGACGCCACTGCCAGTTCTTTCCGGTTTTCTGATATTTGCCAACCCTACTTGTAACTCCAGTGCAAAAATCTGGAAGCAACCTCTGACACCAAACATATCCTGGCTGATTGAGTTCATTTAGAGTAAGGAGAACATTTGATCACTTTAAAAGGCCACACAGCCTTTGTGAGTCACTCTACCATGCTGACTTAGGACTATAAAAGGTTATAGAAGTTATAAGACAATGTCCATTTCAGGCCCATGGCCTGGC